AAATAACCTCTATAACCCCAAAACCCCAAAACCCCAAAACCCCAAAACCCCAAATTCAGAAGAATGTTCGCATAGTTTAAAATTATAAGAATTTTTAAAATGTCGAGCAAGAGTAAAAGTGTATGTTTAGGCAGAATTCCTTCAATAGGGGCATTAAGAACCTTCTTAAAGCTCCTTTACATGATCTTAGAGTCATTAGAGACTCTTTTCGGTGACAAAATAACCGGGATTTATAGGACTCACATCTATTCGAAGCATCTAAAGAAATCAATCAAGAAGGTAAAAATAATTTCGAATGTGTGATGGCTTATACTTCACTATAGAATCTAAGAACCCGATGGTAGAGAAATCAGGGGTGATGCAGAAGAGTGAAATCGAGGGTGATTTTAGGATAGAATATGTTATGGATGAGAATGGCAAAGGGAAATAAAATAAGAAAATATATTAAAGCTAAAGTATGTCAGGAAGTGAGAATAGAGTAGTTTAGAGGTATTTTGAGAGGTTGGAATTGAATTTTGGACTATTGGGTGGGTGATAGAGGTTATTTTGATGTGTATAGTCAAGATTGACAAGTGAGCAAGTTAGAGAGATAAAAGAAGCCTTTCGCTTGTTCGATAGAGATAATAGTAATTCTATTGATGTGGCAGAACTCAGAGATGCCATGAAGGCCCTGGGAATTCCAATGACGAGGTCTGAGCTTAGACAGATGATGAAAGAAGTCGATACAGATGGGAGTGGAAATATCGACTTTGAAGAGTTTAAAACCCTCATGACTAAAAAGATGTAAGCAATTATTCTAATCAATCTCTCTAGGAGTGAGAGAAATCCTATTGAAGAGCTTAGAAAAAGCTTTAGGCTTTATGACTCTGATGACACTGGAAAGATCAGTTTTCAGAATCTCAAGGATGCTGCTCAGGATCTCAAAGAGGACCTAACGGATGACGAAATCCTTGCCATGATCAGAGAGGCTGATAAAGATGGTGATGGAGAGATCAGCTTGGATGAATTTATTGGCATGATGAAAGAAGCTAAATTCTTCTAAATATTATCCTCTTTCAATAACCCAATTAATATTCGGGGTTTTGGGGTTTTGGGGTTTTGGGGTTTTGGGG